TCTTGCATATGTTACTGTTTAAAATCCATACCAGACTCTTATTCAGGCAAGCAGGAAAGGCCACACAGTACCCTCTGTTACTCATTCACAAAAAAAAGTAGCAAATAACCACACAGACACTTTAGAAAAAGTACTTAAAAGAAACATGTCCGAAGCTCATCCCTAATTCGATACATCTTAAAATGTATTTTTAGAAATGCAGCAAAGTAAGTACCTGAATTTGACTTAGTTTTAGCCTCATGCAGTCCCCATTCAGCACAGCTCAGACTGGTAGGGGAAAAATAGCATACTGTTGTCCTCTAGTGCAAGGATTATGCTGATAGAAGAAGACAGCAGAGTGAGGCCCCGTTCACATATAGCGACATACCTTTGCAGCGGCCGGGATAGCGCGACTTTCGGGGCGACGTTCCAGCGACGGTAGCGCGACCTTCTCCGTCGGGCTCCATAGAAAAAAAGCAAAATCGCGCAATATCCGCCGAAAAAAGGGTCCGGTAGAAGCGACTTGCGACCGCGACGAGCGACATGGAGTTAAGACAGCTCCATTGAATAGCATTGGCCGGCGACTTCTCGCGATATCGCGCGGCAAAAATGCGCGATATCACGGCGGTAATCGCGTGACAAGTCGCTATATGTGAACGGGGCCTTACAGAGATCAGCTCATCAGTCTGATGCCTCCTTTTACTGTACATGGTGGAGGTGGGGAGGAGACCTGTTAACGTTACCAAACTGCAGCAGAGAAAAATTAGGCCTTCTCCCCTGGCATGTAAAACATTTTGTTATGTATTTCATTTTTCTATGAAGCTGTTTGCCTGGAGTTCAGTTTTATCCAACTGCCACCTCTGACTTTTTTTTATATGTACCTGACTTACTTTACCAAATCTTTTTTAGACAATAAATAAGTTCTATCCCCACTCCTAATAACCATATTAATCTAGAAGTTGGCAAACTTACTTATTGAAGATGCCCATAGGAAGTGCTTCCTCAATGCGCTGAATTTCACTCAGCCCTGTGAATATGCACTTCCTTGTGTCACAACTCTGAGAGAGCCTGTCTTCTGAACTACATCTGAAAAATGTAAGATGATTGCATGCTGGAAGCAATGCATGATGAGATATGTAATCTTGAGAAATCAGGATTGCATTACATAAAGCAGCATGGAAAGAGACGGAAAGCCCACTGGGAATCCAGGAAGTTGGTGGAAGTGATGGGCAGACAGAAGGCAGCACTCACTACATAAAAGGGATTTTTTTCAAATAAGCTTTCATTGTATTTTCATAAACAACTCCTGTATGTATCCCTATTAGAATGCTGGTGTTGTAACAGGAGAGTATATGCTAAGACTTTAGAACTCCATAAATTTCCTTTACAAAATGGTGTTGCAAGCTTCTTCCAGGGCTGCTTAGAGACTCAACAGTTTAGATGTATGTTTGAGTGATCTGTGCTGATGGGAAAATTCAGTTCAGATTAGCTAATCTGCCTCTTTTCAAGAGATCATGGTCCAAATGCCCAGATTTTGATAATGTGATTTTGGTCATGTGATTGGCATTGTACTAACCTGCAGTAGCCTTTTTCCTGGAAAGGTAAGTATCTCATGGGCAGGGTCCTCTTTACCATCTTGTCTGCTGATTCTATATAAATCCTGTATGAGGATATAATAATAATCTCATCCTTCTACTACTGTTTATCTATCTCCCCATCCAGACAGATAAGATAACATTTCGATTAGACTTACTTTATTTACAATAGGTAGCCTGGCTGACTGAGTCAGCTCCTGACCTTTTGTGTATTGGACAATCACTCAGCAAGATCCCACCTGGTAGATTTGGGTGTTCATGCCCATCTATCCATGCTTCAGCTCCTCCATTGCATTTCCCATAATATAAATAAATACATTTAAAAAAACAATCAAACTGATAACGTGGGGCCCCTTAGTGATGCCCAGAGCAGGTTTGTACACCCAGGAATAGAAGAAAGGAGATCTCACTTATACAGCCCCAAAGACATATACAAGAAATTGTCAAGTGGCTTAATTCTCCAGCTACTGAAATATCAATGTTGAGTAAACTATTTTGACAATCTGTATGTGTTGAGGCTGTAGATGTGAAATAGTAATCAGACAACAACGATGGAGAGTCAAGGCATTTCTAAACACACATTTCTTGGCATTTTAATGACCAATTCAACTACACAAAATACGTCAGCAGTTTACGGATTCAAGTTAAGAGCAATAATAAAAGAACTTGCCAACGCTTTACAGCCTTCAGTGACCTGAGCTCTACTTAGACTTATTCCTTGGATTAACCAATAAGATAATAGAGAAGCTGAAAAACACACCGGTAAGTGGAAAGCAAAAGTCCATTCTGCAAATATTCATTACAAAAATATCCTTATCACTTGCTCACATTGCTTATAAAAGTGTTTCAGGCATTTTGTACCCAGAAGGAGAACAGTTCTAAAACATAATAAAATGTCAGTTGATGAAGCAGGAAAAATAAATAATGTAAAATTATTGATGTGGAAGTAGAATTGGTTCTCCCATAGATAATTGATGAAAGCATTACAAGCTTCATTTAATCATTGTGTGATTATAAGGTTTCAGACTTTAGAGAA